TTGTCACCGTCGTTCTGGTACTCGAGTGAACAAGCAAGCATTTCATGGAGGTTCAGGGACGCGTCCGACTAGTGGAGTGGTCAATGCGCAAATACACCTAATATTTTGCTAAATCGTTTCGTACGCTGTAGTTGCACCTGATTGCGCAGCAAACTATGCAATGGAGTCGGGCTTTGCACTACTCAAAACTGTGTCGACTGGTGACACGTCCGCAAATATATACCTAGGTGAGAACACAACATACGTGTTCACCCATTACAAAGGGCGAAGCCAGCAATCAGCATCATCATCACTCCAGAGTCTGACGTCTATACTCTCCACCTATGACCGGAACAGAGTGCGATCGCCAGAAGTACATGTTCAGATTTGACCAAGATGTACGAGTATATTGTGAGTAAGCCTGCACCGCAATGACATGCCGTTTGCTTCGGCTACTGTTTACATATGCCGCGTGTAAAAACTGATGGAAAAACAACTGTCCGAACAGGCAGCATTGCTACGACCACTTATTTAATTATGTTCAGCATTGAAAGTCCTGCATGCGCGCATGCTAGCAAACGAAAATTGGCAGATCCCGCGTACTGCGGGAATCGACTATATGCGAAGCACGGATGAGTAAAGTTGATACGTCACTTTAAAATGAGCAGAGAGTTTCGAGGCAGACGTAAATTATGCCGTACATGACTTCCATACCATGATTATTAAGTTTGGATGTGTCATTTACCTTCATCGTCTATTCATGTCACTTAATACTAAATTTCGTATATATGGAGCTGGCGAAACAGCCGCACGCGTGCTATGAGTGTAGCATGAAGTCATGTTTTACATGACACGCATGTCATGATTATCATGTTTGCACCAGTCGTGTATCTTCGTCGTCCATTCTCGTCCCGTAATACCAAATTTGGTATATGTGAAGCTAGCGAAACAACCGCAAGCGCACAATGAGCATGACGTGTAGTCATGACTAGTCATAACATAAAAATCATGACATGTATGTCAAATTTTTGCGTTAGGGTGTTGTCCGCCGTGCAATCATGTCATACCATACCAGTTTTGCAAAATGTCATGTGAACGAAAACACTGCAAGAGCAGCAAGACCATGAAATGTAAATCATGACATTCATGATATACACGTCATGATTTTCATCGCTAGTCAGTTATGCTCGCCATACAGTCATGTTGTGCCATACATATTTTGGTATCGATACCATTATTGAAACGGTCAGGAGTGCTAAAAGTCGTAGGTGGCTCGATAGATAGATAGATAGATAGATAGATAGATAGATAGATAGATAGATAGATAGATAGATAGATAGATAGATAGATAGATAGATAGATAGATAGATAGATAGATAGATAGATAGATAGATAGATAGATAGATAGATAGATAGATAGATAGATAGATAGATAGATAGATAGATAGATAGATAGATAGATAGATAGATAGATAGATAGATAGATAGATAGATAGATAGATAGATAGATAGATAGATAGATAGATAGATAGATAGATAGATAGATAGATAGATAGATAGATAGATAGATAGATAGATAGATAGATAGATAGATAGATACGCTCAAAGTCGCCGAAGTTCGCTAAGAAACGTTTCGCACTTAAAAATCTGCATGCTTTACAAATTCCACTGTGGAAAGAAACACTTGCTCGCGAATGCATGCAGCGACCGACGCCCGTATGCCAAGCTCGCTTGTCAACCTGGCACGCTTGAAATAAAAGTGCGTATAATTGCAGAAGGCAGTTTGCAACGCCTGCCAGAACACCCGAGGTGGTTGGCATTTGGGTTCGCCCTGTTTTCGACGCTTTCTTCGTCGCTTGAGCTGGTGGTGATGGGGCCGAAGTCGAAAAGTGCGGTGTACGCACAGTGTCAATTTTTATGAAAGGAAACACGCCGACGCATGGCCTGCGCTCTCCGGCGGCAGCTGGCAGCGCGTTCAAGCGGGAGCGTTAGCAACCAGTCTCTTTTCGCGTCATCTGGCGGCGAGGAAAACAACCATTCATTGCTGATATGGAACCAGCGGCAAAATTTAGATCCCCTCCCTCTTCAAGGCGATTACGCGAGAACCGCTAATCACCTTGAAGGGTGAGGGGTTGCAATCTTGAGGGGTTGCAATCAGCAGCGAATGCTTGTTTTGCTCAACACGAGATGACGCGAAAAGAGACTGTGGCTGCTCTCGCTCCCGCTTGAACGCGCTGCCAGCAGCCGCCGGAGAGCGCAGGCCATGCGTCGCCGTGTTCCCTTTCATAAGAATTAGCACTGTACATGACCTCATGCTTTTTTTAAAGAACACTAAGCCTGCAGCACATTTCGATTTTTAAGGCAAAAATAAGGAAAATTATAACAAAAGTTAATAAACCATCATATTAATTAAAGAGTAGTGCCTTGAACTTAAGGTTAGAACTTCTTTCGTATAATATAGTTACTCTGACGACTGATAATAGAAAAATCATTCAGCGCAATAGAAAAATCATATATATATATATATATATATATATATATATATATATATATATATATATATATATATATATATATATATATATATATATATAATGACACGGGGTCTTGACGTGGCATAGGGCAGGACACTGGATTTTCAGATCAAACTGTTAATCACAGGTGAACCTGTTCCCGGTAAATGAAAAGTCGGGTTACAGTAGCAGACTTGCACTGATCGCGGCGAACGGAGCGTCGGCCGTCGATCAACTAACTGACAAGCGCCGAAGCGTGTGGGCATGTATACCCTTGCCATTGAATGTTCTAACGTTATCGCGAGTGGTAACCTATGTTTCAGAATAATTTGTATAGTTCGCGGAGTGGAAGTAATCTTATCAAAATGATCTACTACAGTCCTGAAGCTTCTCGAAGACTGCTGGCGTGGTTTGCGCTGAAAGTTGAGTAGTGAGTGTGTTGGGGCGATAACAAAACTTGAGAAAAGTAACGTGGCATTGCCCTCCTCTGAAAAAGGTATTGTCCCAATGCTTTAACGTACGATGAAAGTACAACAATAATGCAAGAAAGTACAAGGAATAAATTACAATACAGCAATAACACAACAAAAAACACTGTTTCCGTTCGTTAACGCGCATGAAACAGCTTGACGCGCGTGACATGGACGACTTCCGGTCACGATTGGCGTCGTTGAGAGTTCGTGATACCATCGGGGACAACCTCGTAATTGGCCCCGCCGCGGTGGTCTGGTCTGTTGGCTAAGGTACTCGGCTGCTGACCTTCAGGTCGCGGGTTCGAATCCCGGCTGCGGCGGCTGCATTTCCGATGGAGGCGGAAATGTTGTAGGCCCGTGTGCTCAGATTTGGGTGCACGTTAAAGAACCCCAGGTGGTCGAAATTTCCGGAGCCCTCCACTACGGCGTCTCTCATAATCATATGGTGGTTTTGAGACGTTAAACCCCACATATCAATCATTAACCTCGTAATTGAGTCGGCCGAGACGTCGAACCACCCTGTACGGTCCGAAGTACCACTGCAGATGCTTTTCGCTGAGTCCACGTCGGCCTCGCCATCATCTGGGCTATGTCGAAATTTCCTGCTACCTCTATGGCAGGCCGTTCAAAGTTGTGAGCGACCACCACGCCTTGTGTTGGCTAGCTACATTAAAGGACCCTTCAGGTCGCCTTGCTCGATGGAGCCTGAGACTCCAAGAATATCCCATTACAGTCGTTTACAAGTCCGGCAAGAAACACTCCGACGCCGACTGTCTCTCTCGTGCACCTGTCGACCAACCACCGCCCGACGACATGGATGATGACTACTTCTTGGGAACGGTAACTGTCGACGACTTCGCTGAACGACAGCGGGCCGACCCGGAACTTAGGGCCCTAATAGAATACCGCTATGATAGGATCGCCGAAGCGCGCACTAGCGTCGTTCTTCCTGCTGAACGGTCTTCTCCAAAAGAAAAACTTCTCACCGCTTCGAGCCAAGTACCTCCTTGTGGTGCCTTCATCTCTGCGGCCAGAACTCCTGCAGGCCCTGCACGATGATCCGACGGCAGGACACCTTGGTGTTTCCCGCACGCTCGCGAGGATACAAGAAAGTTACTACTGGCCACGTCTTCCCGCCGACGTCGCTCGTTATGTGAGATTTATTGATGTGTGGGGTTTAACGTTTCAAAACCACCATATGATCATGAGAGACGCCGTAGTGGAGGGCTCCGGAAATTTCGACCACCTGGGGTTCTTTAACGTGTACCCAAATCTGAGGACACGGGCCTACAACATTTCCACCTCGATCGGAAATGCAGCCGCCACAGCCGGAATCCGAACCCACGACCTGCGGGTCAGCAGCCGAGTACCTTGGCCACTAGACCACCGCGGCCTCGTTATGTGCGAACATGCCGGGACTGCCAGCGACGGAAGACACCACCGACAAGGCCAGCGGGATTTCCGCAGCCCATTGAACCACCTCGCCGACCATTCCAGCAGATTGAATATGGACCTACTGGGGCCGTTCCCGACGTTGGCTTTCGGAAACAAGTGGATCGTGGTAGCTAACAGCTACCCAGCACCTCCACCAGACGTCACGGGGTCGTGACGTGCCTGAATGCAGGAGAATAGATTGTCAGGTCAAATGGTTTATTTGGGCGAAGCTGTGCCCGGTAAACGAAAAGTTGGGTTACAGTAGCAGACTACAGTCCTGTGCTTCTCGAATACTGCAGGCACGGTTTGCGCTGAGAATTGCGTAAGGTATTGGGGCAATAATAAAACTTGAGAAAAAAACGTGGTAATATACACATATATATATATATATATATATATATATATATATATATATATATATATACGGAGCAAAACAAAGCTTTCGCGAACGTGCGCATAATTGAGCGAATGCACCCATCAACCAAATTCCAAATTTCAACAACACTGATAGACAAAGCAGCCGCAGTCTATATCAGTGAGCGCCTGTGACCGTGTGGCGCTTGACAAGACAAAGCCGAGCCCTGTGGCTCGCAGAGCCTACCGTCGCAGATGACTTCCAGTGAAGGTACGAAGTAGTCTTCGCAGATGATTGACAGCGCGGCAAACATGTAGAGAGCGGCCAGCAGGTGCACCCCGATGGCTCCCCGCTGGCGCAGTTCGGGGCTCATCAGGGGCCGCGGGAACTGCTCGATGGCGGCCACGGTGCAGTTGGGCTGCGCCGCCGCCACGACGCATGCCGCCAGAGCCGGGAACAAGAAGCGCACGACCACCATGTCCACATCGAGCTTCACGAGTGAGCTTATCTCTGCTTCAGTGATGGCGATCCGTTACGCGCGTGACCACCCCGCAATTACGTCCAAACGACACCTTATCGCTCAGCTTCGCGGATTAAAACGGAGATGAGCTGTGTGCACCGTTGTAACGCCGTCAAATCGCACAAAAAATGCAACAGCTTTGTGGCAGAGAAGCATTGCTTTTATCTTTATTTTACGAGAAGATGCAAGAACAATTATACTATGTATTCGGAGTGTATCTGTGATTGGAAAATCAGTGACAGACTCATAAGCATATCATTAAAGGGGGGGGGGGGCATCCGCCCCCCACTGAGAAAGTAAGGGCGATGCCCCCTCCCCACTTTCGACAGTGGTCACTCTTGGCTGCACTAAGGGGAAACCAACAAGTCAGGCAAAGTTTTCCGAAACAACAGTAATCACTCAATTATGGTCTTATGGAAAAATATAGCCCCGCCGCGGTGGTCTAGTGGCTAAGGTACTCGTCTCCTGACCCGCAGGTCGTGGGATTCAATCCATGCGGCGGTGGCTGCATTTTCGATGGAGGCGGAAATGCTGTAGGCCCGTGTGCTCAGACTTGGGCGCACGTTAAAAACCCCCAGGTGGTCTAAATTTCCGGAGCCCTACACTACGGCGTCTCTCATAATCATATGGTGGTTTTGGGACTTTAAACCCCACATATTAATCAATCTTAAGGAAGAATAAAAAATGTTACGAGGCAATGTCTCAACGTATCGAAATTTCACCAATACTTCCACTGTGATAATTTTCCCTGTAAGCTCTTTGCAGTGCGGGTCGCCTATGCGACGCTTTCGCGTCTTTTGCTGTAGTATTGCAGAGCAGGCGAGCACTTAACAGGGTCCCTATATTATCACATCACTTGTTCATGCTTTTCTTGTATTTCGACATGTCGATGCAGTTAAGGTTGGGATGGAGCACACTTTTTATGGACCGGTCACGGTATTTGCTGCTTCCGGAAAACAATTTTCTTCGGAAAGGACATATCAACACCGCTGCCCTGTCGAAGTGGTTGCGAGCTGATAGGTGTGACGAATAATTTTTTATTTTTAAGTTTTTCTGTACATAAACGCTCAAATTGTTTCCGGTTTAGTCTCTGATAAACCTGATTAGCCTTGCTTGTGGTCACTTGGAGCCATAGCGGCAGCTTGCAAAGTGGCCACGAATAATTCAGTGGACTCGAGCTCAGTAGGAAGCTCAGCTTTTAAGCTTGTCCCAAAACTTCACCCACCAGGCCAGGAAAAGGTGAAAGACCGTGGTTTTTAGCACTATGGAGGCTTAGTTAAGAACGGGCTAGTTGGTTTTCATTCAACTTGAATTGTCTTTTACAGCTCAACATACATCTCGGAAAGCAAAGAAGCACACACGTGCAGTGCTGCCTGTTTCTCTCTATTCCTCTTTCCCTCAGCAAGTATGAGCTCGCCGAGATGTATACACGCACAAACTACTCAGCATCACTATGCCGCAATGCCACAAGTGGAAATATTTCATTAAATTTATAATTCATCTAGCCAGCTGCCATATATAGCCACTGTTTGTGTGGTTGGCAGCTAGCCTACTTGAATTACATTTAGAAGGAGATGCTCTCCGGCCTCGTTACGTCTTGTGACAAGCAGGCGACATTGTGGCACACATTAAATTAAAAGCGCCGAAAAGCTAATGGCCGAAAATGTATGGTATCGAAAATAGTTTGTTTCCTTATTTTTTACGTGGTCGTGCATAAGTGGCCATTTCCCAATGAATCACTTTCACTTCATTTATTGCCTCGCATAACAAGCTGATGCTGTGTGCGTGACAAGTTTACACCAATCATATGCAGCTGACAACCATTTCAAGAGAAAGCAACGAGGGGTAGTTCAACGTTATAATCGCCCACATTTTGTTCTTTCAGAAAAAAGTTTTGTTTACCCCGTTGGTATTGGCGTAATTATTAAGGTACCTGGGGGGCCCGTTAAGAAATTTCAAGACAATTACAACAAGAGTGATCAATGAGTGTGAAAGCCCCGAACATCTCCAGTTATACAGTTAAAGAAAATGGTTGAAAGTTGATAATAAGTTAACAACATTAATATAACAATAGCAATAATAATAATTGAACGCTCCAAAAACAGTGTTCAGACTATTAGCTAATGAAGCAATTTATAATACGCAAACACAAAAAACTAATACTTCTTATGAAAAAATATAACAGCAGTCATTCGTTGAAAAAACATGGTTGATCCTTCCGTCATATAAATATGCATAAAACACGAAAGTAAAACGGTGCCTTCACGAGGGTAATTACATGTTTACTGTAGATGGATAACGGAGGGTTTGCCAAATGTATGTTTCGGTGTTTGGCAGCTGTTGACCCTTTCAACGTTGATGTATTCTTGTTGATGCTTGGTACGTCTTCATCCCGACAACTAACATCCATGATAAATTTATTAAACAAACTATTGTGGTATTTGTAGATGCTGACTGCCAAAGTATAATTAGAGAAAAAGGCGTGATAGCGAGATGAGCGTCGAATATTGGACGCGGAAATAGGGCTAAGGACGCCATTCCTCGGCCTGTTATAGTGTAAATGCGAATTTATATCAAAGTGCCAGCGCGTCGATGACGTTCGCTCTCTATTCCACACGCACACACACACACACACACACACACACACACACATATATATATATATATATATATATATATATATATATATATATATATATATATATATATATATATATATATATATATATATATATATATATATATATATATTGTAGGGAACTATGCGAACGACGACGAAGCAGGAAGAAACGGCGCAAGCCACAGCGTTGGTGCACACGCGCGACCCGAGCTTGCGTTTGTTTTGTATTTGCGGCCTGTTGGCGTTCCTCGCTTTTCTGGCGTTCCTCAGCCTTCCAGTAGGTCTGTACGTAAATAAACTGCGTGACATCTGGTGGAGGTGTGTGGACTCCCGTACAAACCTGGAACTTCGCTCCCGTAAGCTTCCCCCTCTACGTGACATGAACATGGCCACCGAGACGCTTCTCCAGGGGGGACCTTTGACCGTCCGTATCACTTGCGGCGCCGTGTATCCTCAACGAGACCCTCCTATCTTCACGGGCTCCACTGAGTCGGACGTCGAAGATTGGTTGGCGAGGTACGACAAAGTCGACGCAAGTGACAAATGGGACGACCCAAGTAAGCTGGGCTACATCACGTTCTACCTTGCGGACACCGCGCAACTGTGGTTTAATAACCACGCAGCTGACATTACTACGTGGTCTGCATTCAAGACTGCTATTACGGACGTCTTTGGACGACTTGCGGCACGCAAGCTTCAAGCAGAGCACCGTTTACGTCACCGTGCGCAGCAACCAGGCGAGACCTACACGGGCTACATTGAAGATGTGTTGCATCTATGCAACCGCATCAACTCTACCATGCCTGAGGAAGAAAAAATCAGGCACATTTTGAAAGGCATTGACGACGGCGCCTTTCAGATGTTGCTCGCGAGAAATCCCCCCACAATTGCTGTCCTCGTTTCTCTCTGTCAAAGATTCGATGAATTGCGTAGGCAACGCGCAATTGCTCGTCAAGCCCTCACGACGCCAGACACGCTCGCAAGTTTGCACCTAGCTGCCCATCCTACCGATCAGCAGCCGCTGCTTTCGACAATCAAGGACTTCGTCCGCGAAGAGGTAGCGCGCCAGCTGTCACTGCTGCCACTGACACATGAGCCCGCGCAAGCTTTGGCACCGGACCTCCAACACGTCATTCGGACCCAAGTCGCTGAGGCCCTTCCGCCGATGCATCAGCAACCACCTGTCACTACGCCGCTCACGTACGCCGCCGTCGCTGCTCGGCCTACGCAACAGCGTATGCCATATGCTCAACCTGCCACGCCACCCTATGTCGTGCCTACGACCCCAATTGCTGCGCCGTATCCCTACGCGAGATCTTCAGCTCCATTTTACCATCGCTCTGACGCTTGGAGGACGCCGGATAATAGGCCCATCTGTTTCGCCTGTGGTATCGCTGGACACGTCGCCCGCCACTGTCGCCGAGATCCCCCTCCAGCCGAGACCGTGGGCAGGCCAATGGCGTCATTGTCTAGGACGCCATCAAGGTACACCACTGACGGTCCTCGACCCTACGCAAACAATCGGTCACCATCGCCCCGACGACGCTCCCTGTCACCTATGCGTCGCCAACTTGCTACGGAAGAGGGAAACTGATTGCTGCAGCTCCGGAGGCAACAGCTGCATACAATTCGAACGGCTTAAGACCTCCATCTTTCTCGCCACAAAACGTTATTGACGTCAATGTTGAGGGGACCACCGCACAAGCGCTTATCGACGCAGGGGCCACCGTTTCCATAATCTGTGAGACCTTATGCCGCAAGTTGAAAAAGGTGACGACGCCTCTGTCGGGCCTCATGCTCCGCACGGCCAACTCGCAGTGCATAGAACCTACAGCTGTTTGCACTGCACGTGTCATTATCCAAGGTGAACTTTATGCCATTGAATTTTTTGTGCTGGCATCATGCTCCCACGAAGTCATTCTTGGATGGGACTTTCTTTCGCGTCATCGGGCCATCATAGATTGCTCACGTGCAGAAGTTGCCCTTACACCACTGCCAACCTCTTGCTTAATGGATTCTCTTTCTGAAGCTTACAAACTTGTCGTTGTTGCAGACACGGAAATAGCACCGAGAACATCTACCCTTGTAGCCCTGACCTGTACAGCCGCTCCTGCCGGAACTGTTTTGTTCACTCCGTCTGACGTATTTACCCGCCACCGTAGCTTACACCTGCCCTTTGCTGGAATCCAGTGCTACTGCCATGCTCGTCGCGAACTCGCTATCGTCGCCAGTTACCTTACTTCGCGGAGAATGTTTGGGTAACATACAAGACGTTGACCTCTTGCGCCCTCCGGAGTTCGCCGAACACCCACCTCACCTCCAGCTCAATGCTATGACGCCACCTG